CCCCCCCCCCGCCCCGAGCAGCAGAAAGGCAGCTCAGCCGGCCTGAACACAAGAGGCGTCGTGTAATAACAAATCACTACTACGGGCTGCGCCAACCGCGGGTACAGGAGCGGGCAGGCGGACGGAGGACGCTTTGCACTGATTTCTAACGGAGCCTTCAGCCCGAGCCCCGGGCGCGGGGCAGACTGGCCCCGTTTGTCCCCCCGCCGAACCCCCCCATCCCCGCCAGAGAAGGCGGCCGGCGGCGGCCGCAGGAGCTGGGACGAGCTCGGCGGGGCCGCGGTGCCCGGCGCTGCGGTGAGCCCCGCCGCCGCCGATTCGGCTCCGCTCCCCGCACGGAGCCCTCCTCCCCGCCCGCACTCAAACACAACTCGGTGTTTCCCCGCTCGGGCTGCCCACAAGCGACCCTCGGAGGCGCTGCACATACACCTCGGCGCCCGCAGACCCGCGGCCCGGCGGGTCACGGCCCCCAGAATCTCTTCTGCCTTCTCCTGAAGGCGAACAGCTGCGCAGCGCTACTCCCCGCCCCGCGGATTTTACGTGCTACACCGGTTCTCGAAACAAAAAGGCAGGCCCGGAGGGCTGGCAGCTCTCGAACAGCGTGCCCGGGGCAGCCGGACTCTCCCGTCGGGGTGCCCGGGGGCTTCCCAGCTCTAGTTCCTCTGCCCGGACAAGGGCACACGGGTCCCCGCTCCCCTCCCCGCCAGAGGTTATTTGTGGGTGAAAGCAGTCGAAGATATAGCAATGTATTTTAAACGAGAAATTAAATAGCCCTTCGGGGAGCTATTATGTTTATATATATATTATTACATTTCTCGGCTAAAATACGTTTCTGCATCTTCGCCTACAGCCGTATAACGAATCCCTTCTCTCCCGTCGGCGGAGAAAAACATACCATAAACCCTGGGCCGTATAAATTCGGTCACAAAACCGAGGCCCCTAGATTTCCGCACACAGCCGCGGAACAGCGCACGCCGCCCCCGAAGCACCCCCCTAACGCCCACAAACGAAATTGCGGGGGGCTCGGGCCCGCGGGAGAGGTGCTCTCCGAGGGTCCCCCCGCCCGCCCCCGGGCTGGCCCCCGGCGGCTCTCCGGCCCTTGGCTCCGCGCAAGCGGCGGGGCAGCCAGGGCCAGCTGTGCCCGGGGCCGGTGCTGCCGGCCTTCCCCAGGGCCGGGGCCGGTTTCTTTCTGCCGGCCACCCATGCTGCTCCCGGCGCTCCCCCTCGCCGCCGTTTCCGCGGCGAGGGCCGGTGCAGGTGTAACAGCGCGGCTGCGTGTGTCATCACCTCCGCCAAATGGCAGATTCCTGCCTTTCCACTCCTAAGCCGGGCGCGCAACGACTTTCCAAGGCAGAGGACATTTGACACGCTCGGGGCTCGCTCGGGGTTTTCTGACAGCCCCACCAAGGGGGATTTCGGACGAACACCAGCCCAGCCCAGCGCTGGGAGCGGCGATCGGGCCGAGCGGCGGCAAAGGTGAGCGCGCAGCCCCGTGTGCGGCTACTCGAGCGTTTGACAGACGGGCGGGCAGGCGCTGTCGGGCTCCCCCCTCTCCCCGGGGCTAAGTAAACCCTTCTTGGGACGTTAAAGCACCACCTGAAAACGTAGGAGCACGCCACTGAAGCTGAGTTTGGACACTTGGTGCAGTTAAGCGGAGAGCTGAGGTCTTACCGGTACTCACAGACATGTGGCAGCGAAGGAAAGGCAAGGCATAGGGACGGGCAGCGAGCAGAGGGACGCGGCGAGCCCTTCCCCGGGGAAGGAGTGGGGGATCCCGCCACGACCCCGCGGAGCGGCCCAACCCGCCGGTGCCGGCCCAAGTCCAGCCGGCCGCCGCTCCCGGGGCCGGGCAGGAGTCTAACAAACCCGGATAATGCAGAAGGAAGGCGCAAGGAGCCAGCGGAGCTGCTCCCGGACCGGCCCTGCGGCCGCCCTCGGGGGTAGGGGAAGCGGGAGGGGAACTAGCAGCGAAGGGGGGCTCACGACGCCGGTCGGTGCCCAGACGGTACCCGGTAAAGCGAGGGGCAGATCCCACCGCGGGACGCTGAGGGGCGGCGGGGAAAGTGCTCTCGTTTTTTTCACACAAGGGCAGAACCGCCCCGGCCCCAGCCCCTTCCCGGTGTAGGGAAGCGGGGAAGGATGCGGGCAGAGCGAGGCTCAGCCCCGGCCACACAACCGCGCTAAGAAGTGCCCCGATAGGGGCTGCAAATCGGGGCTTCGCCCTGCTTCTCCGGTACCGGGCGGGGCCGGCTGGGAAGCGGCCGAGTCCGTACCCGCGGGTGGAATCACCGTGCGGAGCGGGCACGGCGAGCGACAGGGTCTCCGCCGAGGAGCGCGGCCGGAGCCCCGCGCCCCGTCCCGCTGTGCCGCGCCGGGAGGGCACCGGGGAGCGCGGCGGGGGACACGGGGCAGGGCGCCGCCCCCACGCCGTGCCCGGGCAGCCCGGGCAATGCTTCCCCCGCAAGCCGTGCCTTCAGCCGCACCGCTGATAAGTCTCGAGTAGCCCCAGTTTTTTTTTTTTTTTTTTCTATTCACCGCCGTGCTGGCAGCAGAGCCGATGATTTGGGGATGATACCTGGATGATTTGGGGTCGGTTTGTTTGGAAATGCGGCAGGCTTCCTCTCCCAAACGCTTTTTGTTTTGTTTTGTTTTTTTTTCTTCTCTTGGCGAGAAAACGTGTCTCTGGCGGGGGGCGGCTCGGGGAGCCCCGCTCCCGTTCGGCCGGCGCAGCCAAGCCGCCGCCTGCAGGCACCGGGGCAGAGCTCCCACCTCCCGCACCGACACCCGGACGGGGACAGGCGACGCGGCCCCTTTGTCTGTCCTCCGGGTCCCGCTGCGCTCCGGGTGCCGTGCCGCTCCCGGGCTCCCAGGGACGGATGCACGGGCTGGTGCCGCGGCGCAGCGGCAAGGAACCGCCTTTCGGGACCGCTCTAGCCCGCAGCGTACCGCGACCGTAACGACATGAACCCGCATTCACGGGGCTGGCGTAGCAACGGCACCGGACACGGATGTAAAAGCGAACCCTCGTTCCGAGGCCCGTTTGCCCGGCGCTCCGGGAGACGGTAGGGCCGGGGAGCGCTCGGTCCCCGTGGCGCCTCTCCCTCCCTCGGCTCAGCTGCCAAAGCAGCCGGGACCGGCAGTCACCGTGCTACCGTTTCAATAGGTCTA